GGGGGGAGGGGGGTAGATGTTCTTCAACATCTTTATTGTTGGCGTTTTCACGCCGCCATTGACGCAATTTAGATAATTTAGGAGGAGGCTTCCGACCATTCCTGTCAGGGTTAACCCAGACTGAACAGGATTCAATCAACAGACCAGCAGAAAGACCGCAATACTCAGATCTAAAAAGAATTATTGCTCCCCACTCCGGAATCGAACTTGGGTCTCCTGCAAGCGACAGCGAAGCGCCTAGCCGCCACACCACAGACGCCGTTTTTTTTTTGGGGGGGGGGGTGTTCGATAATGGCAAGATCACCGATAGGGCAGCCTGTGTCTCAGCTATAACCTATATTCTGACTGGAGCACTGATAAAACCTCAGTGAAGTGGGTGTAACTGCGGTTTGTGAATGACCCGAGACTATATAACTTTGGACTCTCGATAGCGGACGAGTAGCTGGACCTCACCTAATACATGTATCGCACGACTGTCGTGATACGAGTGAAAAGGAGGCGGGGGGAGGGGGGCATATTCTGTTGTAATATATTCAGAGACTGTAGAGAAGTTCAAGGCCTTGATAAGTGCTTGTAAGGTGGTATTGTGCGAATCTGAGACTTGTGACTGTAGAGCAAGTCCCAAATAAAAATAGAGGGCAGGGCTTCGTGGTAAAACTCACGATATTATAACTGAAATACGTGAAAACACAGACACACACAAACACACTCACAAACACACACGCAAACACACACACACATACACACACTCACACACACACACACACACACACACAACTGATGGTGTATGGTTCCTTTAAGCAGTGCATAATACATAAAGACACAAATGATTCAATTTTCTAACCTTGCGATGGACGATTGTTAAGAATTTTGTGACAAAAGAAACATGAACATGCTTTTAGCAGAAGGCAGTTTCTGCTGTATTGCAATTTTTGACAGATTTAGCTTTCTGTTCAGTGGATGGTTGGCGGGTGCTCTGGTGTGGGTTGCTTCTTCTATCCTATGAAACATCTATCGTCCTTATCTCCCCTTCTTCTTCTTTATGTTTTGTTACTCTCTTGTAACACCTTAATCTTCTGGCGCTCATATGACCTTATGCAGTTGCGAGCACCGTAAAACCTTTACTAAAACTAATACTAGCTTTCTGTCCAGTGTACTGTTCACGTACATGCATAAAACGCACAGAACTGTAGTCGCCGTGAATGACGACCCTCGCCCACAACAAACCCCAGAGTATTAATTTTTTTTTGTTGCCGGTTGCTAGGTAGCATGGTTAAATCAGGCGCTCGTCAAAATAATGAAATCGAAGAAACCGGCACTTTTCCGCTCTTTTAGCAATTTGTATCGAATTTTTTCTTTTTGACTCAACCTCTTTTATGTTCATTTAAAAACACATTAGGGGATTTTGCTGGAAAATATTGATCAAATCCCAG